ATTAACATCAAGCAAAAACTATGATTTAATATAGGTTTAGGTGTTCAATTTAATACAGGATATTAAAAGAACTACATAAGATGTATAAAAATTTAAGAGGCAAAATTATGTTTAGAATCACATCTTGGGTGATGTAATTACACACTGGAAAACTCTAAAAAAGAAACCCCAGAAAACTCAGTACATTCCTTACATACAATCAGAAAATATAATGGATTTCATTCACAAAAGCATTAACAGACGAAGTACCAAGGAATAAATTCACCAAGAAATGTATAAAATCTACCTGAAGAAAATTTGAAAATGCTACTGAAATATGAAAGTACCCTTGCATAAACAAAATAGGAATAAAATAAATAAATAAAATAGGAAGATTCAAAATTATAAAGATGTCAGACTTCCCTAAATAAATCTACATTTGAGATTATTTCAATGAAAATGACAACTGTTTGGCAGGATGGTAAGGAATGTTATTAAATTACTTAAAATTGGATAATAAATATGTGAGAATACTTAGAAAAAAAACTGAAACAGCAGAAGAATGAGACCAGTTGTACCCACTGTCAAATTAAAAATCTACAATTAAGATTGTTAATGGAACAGAAATCACAGAGCCTAAAAGTGTACTCAGATCCACATCTAATAAAAGTAATATATTATTAAAATAGCATTTCAGGTAACTGGGGGGAAAAGAAGGATGATTCAAAAATACTGCAACAATTTGCTAATTATTTGTGAGGAAATGGGATTCTTACATCATTCTTCACTCTAAAACAAATGATAGATGGAGCAAACTATCAAGTATTAAAATATAATAAATTACTAAAAGAAAAGCATGAAATGTTTTTGGAATCTGAAAGTGGGTAAGGCCTTTCAAAACCTAATAGAAACCATACAAATCACACAGAAAAAAACTCAGATAAATATGGCTTCATAGGAGATTAACAGTTACTATACTATGAAAATAAATACATGAATGAATAAATAGATGAATAAATGACAAACGAGGGAAAAATCTGTAACACAGTATACATGAAAATTAATTTCTTCACTATACCATAAACTACAAAATCATAATACAAAGATCATCAAAGAAAAGAATGGCAAAAGACATTTATGGAGCTTAAAAAGAAACATATGCAAGGTTGCTGAAACTCACGCATAAAAATTACAAACAAACCACGGTAAGATTTTTCACAGATGAGTAAAGAATAAATGTTATTGCTAATCAGAATAATCTTACTAAAAAGTGAATGACAAAAAGTAGTGAATGAAGAAACAGTGACATTTGGGGAAGCAGGTGCTCTCCGACACTGTTGAGAAGGTAAAATGGCTCAAGCTGCCTGACCAGCAATTTGACAATGTTTTACCTAAATTTAAAATGTATGGTTTGGCTGAGCAATTTCGATCAATCTGTCCTACGACATAATCACACAAGTAAGCAAAGATACATGCACAGGGAGCTTTTTTCAGGATTTCTGGTAATCCTGAAAAACCCTGAAGACAGCAAAGTAATTAGAAAATGCACAACCCTGACAGATCCATTCATTGTGAGAGTGCTGTTCAGTCATAGAAAAACCCAAGCTGGCGAGGAGCACTGGGATCTGAGAAGTACTGAACCGGTAACACTCAACTGAGAGCAAGACACTCAACAGCAGGTGCCGTGTGGTCCAATTTCTGGGGAGAACATTATGAGAAACTCTTGCCAGTGGTACCTCTGCTGAGGACGGTCACCAGGGGCCCGGGTGTGATGATGTGGACTTCTTACTCCATACCCTCTGCAGGTATGTTAGTAGGGATGAATTACAGACACAGCTTTCCTCGCCTTGAATCTAGCACATCTACAATGGTGGTGGCACGTTACTTCACAAGCCTGTCCACTACGTGTCTTTGTTCAAGCTCTCATGCCCATCTTCCTTGCACACCGAAACCTTGTCCCTTCCAGGACCGACTCTAAAGCCAACGATTCCACGAGGCCTTTCCAAACTCCTCAGAATAACACTGCACTCTTCCTTCTTAGCACTCCCATGGCCCTTAAACTACAACACACACATTTTTCAGTCTTTTTTTTTTTAACACGGTTTGAAATTATTCAAATTAATTTTGCTTAATTTAGTTTGCAACAGTTTTGCCTTTCATTTGCTAATTTATTTTTTCCATGTTTCTATTCTCTATTTTCTCTGGTTTTTAAGCACATTAAGAGAAAACACACTTAACTTTATCCTGTCCTCCCCACCCCATGTTTTAGTCAATGTGAGGCACAGTACTTGATAAATACTGTTAAGTTACTTGATAAATACTATTAAGCCAATTATACATGATAGTTCCTGCAGTATCCACATATTATTCTTTTTAAAAAGGAGGTTTTTGTCATTTGTGACCCAAGTTCTTAGGTCATATAGCCCACATTATATTTTCTTCATTTAAAGATGTGCAGAAGCTACAAAACCCAGTACATTCATATTTGGTATATCTGACTCCCATTCAGGGAAATCCTAAAAATTTGCGATTTGACAATTCACAGTTCTGATATTAGCAGAACACTTACTTAAATTAGCTAATTGCTTTGTACCTATGATCCCCATATAGAAAAACAAAACATAAAAACCTAGGCATTTAAAACATTTCAGTAACACGAACATAACAAGATTAAATCATTAAAGAGAAGAAATGAATATATAACAATGTAACATCAATCAATTTTATCCAGTGTAAGAAAAAAAATGTAAGCTTTATTTTGGTAAGACATTTCAGATTCCCTCAGATCACAGCATACCAATAAGCAAAACGTACACATACTGATTTTATACTACACGTCAAGTCCCGAATTCCCAATCCCAGGAAAGCAAGCTGCAGAATACTAGTGCTGATAACAACTACAGGTAGTATTTGAAACAAAAATAAATGAGTTTTCAGCACTTAAATGAAATGAGTCTTTAATCAAAAAGAGACTTAATTCCACAGGGTGTCTTTTTTCAACAGTAATTCATTCATTCAAGTCTGATTTCAAGCTCAAGTGACAGTGTAATGTTTGAAGCAATTGAGAAAAGGCAATTGACACGTAAGTGGTATAATACAGTATGTACTGGATTTGGGGGCAATCTCTAACTGCATTCAATTTTTAGACCTTGTTTTAGAGTCTAATTAAACAAGAACTAGAGCTCTGACCCTACTTGGAGGAATGCAGTGAAATTGCTCTGTCTTGGCACAAAGGCACGTTGCAACATCGATGCTCTTTAATCAACTTGTCCCACACTAACCCATTCTCCAACAGCATACTTCCTCTAGCTACAACTTAGAGGAACACACAACTTTTACCAAAAGAAAATTCTGTACTTCCAGTTTTAAAAAGCACACAATGCTATGGAGGCAACCATTTGAATATCTGAGTATACACACTGAGGTTTCTGCAACTTCATGGCATAAGAGAAGTTTTGATTTAAGAAGTATCATTTCATGAACCCAGCATCAAATATTTACACAATACATGTTTCATACAATATACCTTTAGAAACTTCAAGCGGCATAAAATTTTTATCAAACTCAAGTTTCCGGTGATCTTAAAAAAAACAAAAGGCAGGTTACAACTGTTTTTGTTCAACTGAAATATCCAGTCATGGTTATTATCTAGAAAATGCTAAAGTTATGTGAAAAAATTTAGTCAAAGAAATTATTTTCAACCTTTTAAATATGCACAGCTAAACAGAAAATAAGAGGTTTGTCTGGCATATGAGTAATTAATGTCAAGGAGTTTTACAACTCTCAGCTGCTATTAAAAACTATTTCAGGTTTTACATAATTTCCACAGTCTTAATACCACTATTTTCATTCAGATAAAAGAAATGACCTTTTGAAGTCACTGACATCAGAAATGACACTTAATGGACGAGAATGATAACTAGAAGCTGGGGAAAAACGAGTCTTGGCAGTTTCTCTCCAGGTATGAGGAAAGCCATATAATCAATATACAATAGATACAACAGTTTAATGGGCACTTTTCTGTTTTCCTCTTAGCCACAAAAAACAAATCTCTGCTCAAAGCAGTCACACTTGAGAATGCTATGGGGTCTGCATATGATTTTCCCTAATTTCCTAACCACCCAGACCCTGAAATCCAAGTAAGTATTTCAATGAAAACTTTGCTCTCATTTGCATGAAGTCTGATTCACTTTATGTAACCCACACTAAAAGTGGGTTATCTTTATTATTAACAATGTGTCTTGTTATCTTTATTATTCTTAACATGACAAGGAGAAGCTCCAGCTGGAACTTTAGACAACTCAGAAATATGTACAAAAAAAAATTTTATCACAGTTCTTTAGATTTTCAAGTAAATGCACCCAAATCAAGTGTTATCAAGCTGCTAATTAGCAGCTACAACTAATGAACCATTTAAATCAGGTTGTAAATGCTTGCTAAACTGTGTTTACAAAAGCTTCCTCTTGTGAACTATAAGGACTAGAGTATTAGACTCCACACACTAGCTACTTTCATGAAGGAATTCTGTTGACCAAAGTTGACCCTAAAGCCAATTTTCTCAACTCCTTCCCTTTCCCCTAAACTGTTCAAACACATTTTACGGTCCACAAGAATATGAAGCAGGGTGTTTTATATGGCACTGTATCCTTTCAGAAACCTCACATTTCAGTGAACTGGGAGACTTTCACTACATACTCTGTGTATTTACAGACACTGTTCTATCTGTGCCGCATAATCTATACTGTGAGAAACTGTTGAGTCAAAGGATAAGCTGAAATGCTATACTGTGACAATATATTCACTAGGGAGTTAGCATACCTTAAAAGGAAGGCATATTAGTTAATTTAATAATTCCAATGTTTTTGTTATATGGGCTTAACATTTTTTTCCTTTGATTTTGCATTTCTATCTGAGAGAGCATCTTTTAAGATGTGTTTGAGAGTATAAAGAATATGCTAATACAACTTAATATAAATATAAATAATATATAAGCAATCTATAGGGCTACACATAAACAGGTGTCAGACCACTGATGTTGTACTTTCGGGATTCACGCGAATCAGTCTGGAGGCATTTCTCAGGTCCTGGAGTTGCTTGGCAGGTTTCCCCACACCCTCCTCAAACCTTTTTTCCACCACAGGGAGGACTGTTTCATACAGAAAGGATGCGTTCTGTCTGATAAAAGCTTTCTTCTCTGGATCTTGCTCACACCGAAGGCTGTAATCCACATGCTGGACAGCAACCAGAATGATCTCCACCAGGCTCTCCAAAAGCACCATGTGCAGCTCTGGGAAATACAGCTTCAGTGCCTCTTCTAAGAAGCCCATGGTCTGCTTGGTGAACGCGACCACCGTGTAACTCAGGTTCACCCAGCAGTCATCCCCCGTGTATTGCTCAAAGTTACTCACCCCACAGCTCTTCATTTCCTCTTTGAGTTTCCCCAGGGCCTCTGGAGTCATCAAGTTCATCCTCCTCCACATCTCCTCGGAGTTGCGATGCTTAGTGGCTTCGATGATGATTTCTTTGTAACTATGCAAGGCTCCTTGGATGTCTTTCACCAGAAGGGCATGGATGATGAAGGTGAGGTCGAGTCCGATGTCGCCCAGTTGCTGACAGTGCTCCTTCGCCACTTTGACGCACTCAGCCGCTGTGGAGAGGCTCTCCTTACTATCGAACACCTGCTTGCTGAAAGCATCCACGAACATGCCCATGGCTGACCTCGCCCAGACCACAAAGGCAGAGTAGCAGCCACTGTCGGTGCCTGCAAAGTCGGTCTCAAATTCCCTGGCAGTCTCCAGAAGGCTGGTAAAGAAAACGTGGCACAGCTTATGAATGTAGAGTAAGGTGGCCCCTTCAATGCGAAGCTGGCGTATTGCAGTGTGCACAGCTGCCGCCCTGTTTCTCAAAAACAGCTCACAAGCCTTCGTGCACTGGCCAAGTCGGATTAGCTGAGAAACTGCCCTGCGCGTCGCCTTGGGACCACCTCTCAGGGACCGATCCGGGGAGAGTTCAAAAACTAGCACCTCGGTGAGCTGGCGGACACGCTCATCCACTCTCGCCCTCAGTTCTTTGACGGGAGGTGGGCTGGGCTTGTCTTCTAGGTAATGGTTCAATTTATCCAGCAGGTCAACGGCACCTTCAAAGTCCCTCTGGGCAATACAGACATCCAGGTCTTCAGGCAATTCTTGGATCCATTCCATTGAGAGGTCCACCTTCTCTTCTTCTATCTCGGGAACAGTTGGTGCGTCGTCGTCTTCGTCCTCAAACGGGTTACTGGCCTTGGGGGTCACTTGGGGCGGCCCTCGAGGGGCCGCTGCCTCCTCCTGTTCCCTGCGTCTTTTTTCACTGAGGGCCCTCTTGGTTTCCTCCAGCACTTCCAGCCACTCCCGTTTGATCTTTGCATTTTCCGCCTGAAAAATGCGGCTCTCGGGAAACATCAACAGCTTGAACATGTCCTTCATGGGCGGGTTGTCTTTGACATTGACCACAGCCAAACCATCCAGGGCATAGAGGGCGTTATAGCGATACATCCCCCGCCGCTGTGGCAGCCAGGTGGCCACCAGCAAACAGTCGTTCATGAGAAAGCCGTGCACTCGCTGCAGCTGGGCCATGTGGTCCGCCTCGTATTCCACCAGGTCACCATTGTACACTAGGTACTGTCCCGGAGTCTCCAGCAGGTGCCTGCAGCCTTCCACCTTCTCAAGCAGGGTGGTGAGGGTTCGCTGCTTTCCTTCCTCGCCTGGCCCAGAACCGTCCCGGGAGACGCCCCCGGGGCTGGGGAAAAAGCCGGTCTGGCCCCGGAGGTGGTCGCGGCCCCCCGCGCCACCTCCTCCCTCCTCCCCTCCAGAGGTGGCGGCGGCGCCCGCGGCAGCGGCAGCCGGCAGCAGGGTAAGCGGGATGCTCTCCAGGCTGCTCTTTTGCTCCGTCAGCAGGTGGCTGAGCTGATACATCTCGCTCTCCAGGTAGGAGATCTCACGGGCCGTCTCTATGAACTGCCGGTAGTTCTGGTAGACGTTGCGCTTCAGGTTCTGCGCCGTCTCCTCCGCCAGCGCCTGGATGCGCTGTCGGTGCTCCTGCAAGTCCCGGTCCCCGTCCGACTGCTGCGAGAGCTGCTTCACGTACAGCCGCGCCTCGAAGCCGCCCGACTCGAGCTGCCGCCGCAGCCGGCTCGCCCCACTGTCTGACATCGCCATCGCCATTTCCGTCCGGACTCACGCAGCCCCTGTCACTACCACCGTGGCCGGTGCCGCCGCTGTGGAGGCCCACCCAAGCCGGGACAAACTCCAGCGCTAAGGAAGCAGGATGGAAGAGAGACGAATACGCCTGCGCCCGGGTTTGAACTTCAGTCACTGCGCCTGCGCAAGGGCAGAGTGGCGACGGTGCGCCTGCGCAGTAGCTTCAGGGGCCTAGGGCTCCTACGCTGGAGAAGCGATTGCGGAAGTGAGTGGAGGGCGGGGCAGAGAGATGTAGGTACTACAAGGTGCTACGCGTGGGCGGAGTGTGTCGTTGGTGTTTGACGTTACTCGCGAACCGTGAAGACTGTAACCAGGTATCTGAAACCTTCAACCCTAGTTTTGAGCCCATTAGGTGGTGTCACGCTGAGTTCTTTTTTTTAAGGCCCAGAATCTTGACTTCGGCGTTTGGGACGAGCTAAGTTCTCGTTGTCGAGCCCGTTTTCCCTGAGTCTCGCGAGATCGGCGAACTGTATCTCCTAGGCGTGTGACCGGGCTCTCAGACTCCCCCCCGCCCCCCCAGGACGTGGAGTCACCCGCTCTGGACCTCGGCAGCCATGGATGAGGACCTGGTTTTGGCACTACAGCTTCAGGAGGAGTGGAACTTGCAGGTCTCGGAGCGCGAACCGGCCCAGGAGCCCCTGTCGCTGGTCGACGCGTCCTGGGAGTTGGTGGACCCCACCCCTGACATACAGGCCCTGTTTGTTCTGTTCAACGACCGTTTCTTCTGGGGCCAACTGGAGGCGGTCGAGGTGAAGTGGAGCATGCGGATGACGCTGTGAGTCCCGGTCCCCGCTGTGGACGGGGCCGCCGGCGGCCCTTCTGTCGCCCCTCCCGGTCCCAGCGGCGTTAGCCCGGGCTCTGGATTTGGGGCAGGCGGCCCCACAGGGATTATCTTCCTTCTAGCCCCTTCCCTTCTCACCTTAAATGACTTCAAGAAAGCCCCGTGGCCCATCCCGCGATGGTTTGACTTGTGAGGGGCGCACTGAAAGAAAAATTGTGTTTCTTTGAATCTCACTTCACTAGAAAGGGCGTCCCTGGTGGCACAAACGTTAAAGAATCCGCCTGAGACCTGGGAGACCTGTGTTTGATCCCTGGGTCGGGAAGATCCCCTGGAGGAGGGCATGGCAACCCATTCCAGTATTCTTGCCTGGAGAGTCCCATGGACGGAGGAGCCTGGCGGGCTTCATACAGTCCGTGGGGTCTCAGAGTCGGACAGAACTGAGCGACTAAGTACACAGCACAGTCCAGAGGCCCTTAACGGTTACTAACAAGCAAGTTAACGCTTTTCTAATTTGTCTTAGGGGTGTGCTTTAGGATCCAGGTGGGAGAAACAGCAAGAATCTGCCTCAAGAGAGTGCCAGGGACACACTGTGTGGTGTACTTGGCAGTGAGCTCCGGAGCCCCAGAGTGGGGAAGGCGCTCATGTTCCCATATTTCTGGATCCAGGGGATCTAAAGGGATGCCTCTAAAAGGATCCCTTTCTGACACTCCAGGTTTGAGAAATTCTGACTTGAGATAACGTACCCCGGTATATGAACGGAGTTAGCAAGTAAGTAAGAAGTCGTTGTATACCACTGTACTTGTTTTTGAATTGATATCAAAGCATCTAAAATAAGAGAGAAGATACGACACTTTGTGTGTTTAAAGTATCTCTTTCATATAAGATTCCATTATAATTTTGGACATATGCTAATGGAGATCTGGCCGTTATACTACAACTGATTGAGCATAGCTTGTAGGGAGGAGACAGGAAGCAGCAAAATAAGATTATCTTTTTCAAGCTGTTACAGCCTGGTAACAGGCTAGGGAAGCCACTACTCCGATGAAATACAAGTATCTCCCTACAAAGTAAACTCTACATTCCACATTGCTAGGTCTCTTGATTCTCCATTTTATGCCACATTTTCATGAAAAGGTCTTTCCCTGAATCATAATCTGCCTGATTGTGTGTGTGTTGTTATGGTTGTTGTGGTGTAGTCACTAAGTTGTGACCCCATGGATCATAGACCCCCAGGCCCTTTTGTCCATGGGGTTCTCTAGGCAAGAATACTGGAGTGGGTTGCCATTTCCTTCTCCAGGGCAAAGTGTTATACTTGAGGGTATACTCTCAAGAAAGCCATCCTTCATAGAGTTCTCAGTCTGAACTGTCCAAGAACAATAATAAATAGGGATTTTGCTCTTTCATTTCTATTTCCGTTTTGTGTATATTTGGTGACTAACAAATTTTTGTGGTGGTTGTTTTCCAGGTGTGCTGGGATATGCAGCTATGAAGGGAGGGGTGGAATGTGTTCCATTCGTCTCAGTGAACCCCTTTTAAAGCTAAGACCAAGAAAAGATCTTGTGGAGGTATTCTTTGCATAAACCTGATTCTTAGCTCAGTAATTTAGAAATGGTTATTATTAGACTGCTGTAAATTAACCTGTACATGTGGGGGAAAAAATCAGTTTTCCCTCACTGCAAACTTTTATTGTGGGGCAAATAATGATTACCTTATATTCTTACAGTGTTTCAAAGTTGGAGGCTTTCAGGTATGTTAGCTACTTTGATTTTTACAACAGTCCTGTTTATGTTCAGTATGTGTTATCCTTATTTTTATAAATAAGATAAGGTTTAGATAGAAAAAGTGGTTGGTTTAGAAGCAGCAAGAAAGTTAAGATCCAAACATTTTTATTGACACACACGAATTTTGATTCTTTTCTGTTCAGCCACTATGGTGTCCTCCCATGACATATAGCTGGGCTGGCAGAACAAACCAATGTGAGGGTACACTTCATATCTATAGATGGTGATCACTCCTAATAGCTGAATGAAGCAGTAGGAGCCCTCAACTGTGTTTAGTTGAGTCCAGTAGTTGCCTGAAAAATCCTCAAGATATACCTGGTGTGAGTTGTCTTGCCTCAGTTGTATCATTTGAAATGTATGCACCAGAGAGCATAGGTGATAGAGGTTGGATGGGAAGTAAGTTAAAACATGCCTGGAAATATGTTTTTTAAGGATAGCAAAAAGTGGTGGGTTTCACAACAATGTGAGTGTACTTGGCACTACTGAACTCTATACTTAAAATAGTTAAAATGGTAAATTTTTTGTTACATTTTTTTTTAATCACAATTTTAAAAAAATAGCTACTAAATGTTAAAGTAGTACAACAGAAGTACTCAATAAAAAAGAATCTAATAAAGGGACAAAACCCAGATGAAACAGAGAGAAAGGTGAACATAAAAACAATATCAGGTATTATATTAAATGTAAATGGACTAAACATTCCAGTTAAAGACATGCAGTGGCATATGATATTAACTGAGATGTGATTAAAACAGACACACGTATGTTAAATATAAAAGGATGAGAAAAAGCATATCTTCCAAATATTAGACAACAGAAAACTGTTATGGCTGTCTAGTATTAGTATAAAGATTTTAAGGGAAGAAGTTTTACTAGAAAAAAGGGAGACATTTTAAAATGATAAGAAAACCTATTAAATACAGACACATAATGACCCTAAAAGTAATAGCATAGCTTTAAACGTGAAGCATCAATCAGCAGAAATGAATAAGAGAAATAAGCAATCTACAGTCATAGTGGTAGATAAAAACACAATTCTGTTGGTAATTCAGTGAAGAAGCAGGAAAAAAACAGTAAAGCATTTTAAAAAATTAAACTATGATTAACCAAATCAACCTTATAAGGAGTGCCAATTGGAACAGCCCTAATTGAAAACTGAGTTCGTTGCATAAACAATGTTGGTTTAAATAACACATGAATGATTTTTTTCTTAAGGTAATAGGCAAGAAGAAAATGGGAACTATGTGGTAATGCTTCAGGTGAGCATTTGCTGTTGGCAGAAAGTTATAATGTGAAATCAGGAGTAAGATGGATGGAGGAAGAATAGAGGGACTGGCCTGTATTTGAAGTAGCTGCCTAAATTATAATGAATAAGATTCAGAAAAGGAAAAAAGTTAAACTGGTTGAGGAGGTTAAGAAAAGTTTCACAGATGTGGATTTCATTACTACTCACATCAGCACGCCTACCACTCACTGTATTGAGTACCTACTGTGTGCCAGACTAATCTAGTTATTCTAGTATTTGCTTTTGATGTTTGTTGTTGTTGTTCAGTTGCTAAGTCATGTCCAACTCTTTGTGACTGCAGCCCTCCAGGCTCCTCTGTCCATGGGATTTCCCAGGCAAGAACACGAGTGCGTTGCCACTTCCTTCTCCAGGAGGCGAGCCTAACAAGACAGAATTGAATTCTGACATGTAGAAATGGTAGAGGAGACTACTTTTGGCAGAAGGAATGGGTATGCTGTGGACAAAAGTGAGGCCACTAAGCTTATGGCATATTTAGGTCTAGAAGTAGTTGTTTTTGGCCAGATCTAGAACAGTGGTGGGAAATTGAGGTGTTTGGGGACAATGATGTGTAGATAGAGCCTAAATGTGGAAAATGGTAGATAAATAAAAATGAAAATGTTTAGTATAATGCCATGTACCATTTTCAAGACGTGTTTGAATTGAACCAAAAATCAGGAACCTAAGTTGTTTCTCTTTAATAAGAGTAGTTATCATTGTTTTAGAATGTTGAAAAACATCTGAAATGTAGAATGACCTTTGAATTTGAGTCTCGATAGAGTGGCATTTCCTTGAAAAGATAAGAATTGGTAAATGTTTGATTCTTGCATTTCTATATTCATATAATTCTATACAACTAAAATTCATTAATGCCAATCTAGTTCTGATGAAAAATTTTTTTTAAACTATGGAGGGTTATGAAAAAAGCTATGCTTTTGAGGACCTTTATGATTTTCACTTTTGTATTCATATTTTTTAGAATAGATTATGAAATATCAGCCATAAATGCTTTTGTAAACTTTATACCTAAACTATTCCATCCTTGGTATGGAATGAGCGGTAAGTTTTATTGTTTGTTTTAAAATTTTACATGATTTAAAATCCTCAAACTACAGAAGACTATACACAGAGAAATCTTGGTCTCCCCCATGCCTCTATTCTGACCTTTTCACCATAAAGGATACTATTGTTACTAGTTTTTTTTCTATCATTCTCTTTTGCCAGTATTTATATCCACTCTTATCTACTCTCCACCACATAGCATACTTCTTATACAAAATGCTGAGTACACTCTTTTGTACCTTGCCTTTTTCATTAAAACAATACATTCTATAGTGCCCTCCATATCATTTCATAGAGGTACTTTGCATTCTTTTTTATAGCTACATAGAATTCCATTATGTGGCTGTACCATAGTTCTTTCAATGAAGCCCCTATTGCTAAACATTGTTTTCACTCTTTCACTTTGTAAGCAGTGCCACAATGAAATACCTTATACACATGGCCTTTCATTTTAGTCTAGGTGTTGCTGAGTCCAACAATAACTGTGTTTGTAAATATGTTAGATGTTAACCAAATTTTCCACAAGGGTTGTACCATTTTGCATTCCTACCAGTGATCCCTGGTGGCTCAGTGGTAAAGAAATCTGCTTGTCAATGCAATAGACTGGGGTTCAGTCCCTGGGTTGGGAAGATCCCCTGAAGGAGGAAATGGCAACCCACTCTAGTATTCTTGCCTGGGAAATCCCATAGACAGTGGAGCCTGGTGGGCTGCAGTCCGTGGGGTTGCAAAGAGTCAGACATGACTTAGTGACTAAACAACGACAACCAGTGATATATGGGAATGCTTATTTTCCCTTAGCTTTACTAATAGTGTCAAACTTTAGTTTTACCAATCTCAATAAGAAGTTGTATACTTATGTATTAACTTGCATTTCTGTTTTTACAAATGAAGTTGAGCATCTTTTCATGTTTATGGATCATTTATATTTCATTTTCTGTGACCTGTCCATGATATTTGCCTATTTTAAAATCAGATTGTTGATCATTTCCCCGTTGATTTTTAGGAGTGCTTTATAATTTAGGAGTTGATAGCCTGTGAGATAGTTGCACATATATTTTCCTGAGTTTTTTCACTTTACTGATAACATTTTTTTCCCCATACAGAATTTTAAAATTTTCATGTAGCTGAATTTATCAGTCTTTTCTACTGGATTTTGGTTAATAATTTAAAAGGCTTCCTTGGAACAGGGAATTAACCTGGGATCTACAGGACTTTGGATATCATATGCAAAGTTGTGTGAATGTGTGCTTATATAAGATAGTTCATGACTTCTTCAGTATCTGAAAGGAGTCTGTGATCCAAAGAAGGTTAAGACTCCAGGTAGAGTCAGAAAATGCATTTTTATTTTCAGAAGCACCATAACAAATTAATGTGATTGTTTTTTGTTTCAGACCCTCTTGCATGAAATGATACATGCCTATTTATTTGTCACTAATAATGATAAAGATCGGGAAGGGCATGGTCCAGAGTTTTGTAAGCATATGCATCGCATCAATCGCCTGACAGGAGCCAACATAACGGTATATAAAGCCACACACATTTATGATATTTAGTAGTTATTTATTCAGTATTTCCTGGGATTTAATTAAAAATAGAGAACTGGGTAGAAACAAATACTATGTTTGAGGATTTCCCAGGGCAAGTGAGGGGCCCAGAGAAGCAGACCAGCGTATCTGGGACCCATAGTAGAAGACAGCAGTTCTAGTGACATCCCTGGAGACCTCTGACCTCTGGGGGTAGCTTGTGCAGTTATTGCAGGCCTGAGTACCTCTCTTCTGGACTATTACTGTCATCTCCTAATTACTTTTCCTCACTGTCTCTTTCTTCAGTCTGTCCTATATTCTGCTGCTATTGTATGTTACTCCCTTCATCAGAAGTGTTTGACTTGCATTTCTGCACACTGTGGGAGGTGGCAGAGCCTGCGGTCAGAAAAGCAGGCAGAGTCAGGTTGCCCACATCCTGATGCTGGCCCCACTGATTGTGGGACCTATTTAAACTCTTTCATACTTTGGTTTACTCACATGTAAGAGGAGGATGATAACAATACTTAGGCTATTGAATCCTTGTGAGGGTTAGAGAAAATGCAAGCAAAAACGTTTCAGCACAGTTTGGGTACTAATTAAATATTGTCTTTGTTATTATATATTCATTTTATCCAGTAACCTTACTGTTCCTTTTTTCTTACTTTCCACAACTTCCTTGCTTATGTTTCTAACGGAACTGTTCATTTCTGTGCCTTTCCTCATATATTCTCTCCCTAAAATGTGCCTCTTCTATTTTCTGTCAAAATGATCTTCATCTTTACAGTGGGATATAACTTCTCCCTCCTTTGAACCTCCTCAGCAGATATTTAACCTTTTACAATGTTATATTCTACTTTCATATCCCAATAGGGTGGTCTTACCTATGTTTATATACACCTGTGTATCTTTGTATACACCTGCACAAGATGTATAACATAGTGCCTCTACAAGCAGTTAGCAAGTACTGAATTTAATTGAACCAAAACAAATATTAATTCCTACAGAGATTAAATGCCTTTGTGTGTTTAGAAATTTCCTTATTTTAAAAAAGCAGTAAAAGCCAGTGTGACAGAAAGGGAAAGTACTCACCCTCCATGTATTATTTTCTAGGTGTCAGTTTAATTTTCTAGAGAGCTCATTTCATTACTGGACTGAGTTCCTTTAATATCAAATAAGTGGCTTGCATTAACACAGTCACATAAAATCCAGATTAGCAAAGGAATTATGGAGTTGCTGGTATAAAAGACTTTTACACTTTAAGCAAAATTCTAGTGTATTTCCTGTTGTTTATTGGAAGAGAATTTGGGAGGTTTTATCAGGTAGACAGCCCTTGCTTTGCCAGGTTACATTCTGATATGGCAGACTCCATGGGGCATCCACATTGAGGACAGTTTTTAGTTAACTACATTGTTACAAAGTTACAGCCCCAGGCTATAGGAATTACATAAGTTGGAATCAAAAGAGATCCAATTCCCTGTCTTTTTTACCACTGCGAGGTGTTCTCAACATAAGAGAGAAGGCAGGGTCTTACAAGCCTTCTTGCTCCCAAACCTGTCCTCCAGTCTCTTCTGGACTTACCATAATTTGCATTGTTTGCATGCTTGCCAAATAATAGAATTTGTTTGCTTATAGTGGAGAGATAGTGAATATAAAACTATCCATAGAGTTAACAGAAAGCTTAGTATTGTTTCCCACAAGGGGAATTTATTAAGAGTTTAAAAAAAACAAGACTCATATGCTGTTGTTGCTCCTTATCTTACATAACTAATAACATTCCACTGAGAGGACAGGAGGAAAAGTTGCTCGGTCATTTGGAAGTATCATTTGTAAAATGGGGCCCTGCTAGCCTCAGTGCCACCATGTGGGAGGGCTCACCTTCCTTTCAGCCTGAACTCTTCTCTGTCTGCTGCTTAGGTTCTAAGTAAGATTTCATCTCTAGAGGGTGAAGCAGAGGGATCCTGTTCAAGGACTGAAAAGCACCTTTAAAGAGAATTTGTCTCAATGAAGTTTCTCATTCACTCAGTCAGCAAACACTTACTGAGCACCTTCGCTGCCAAGCTGGTAATAACCACTAGGGATACAAGGATGAGAACATTCAAACCCTGGAGAGCTTTTCACCTGTAAACAGATAAAATGGTACCCCAGAAAGCTGCTTGTGAGGAAATGAGCAGAGTTGGGTGAATGTGGAGAACAGATTTTGCAGAGGCAGCCTGAGACCAGGTGCTTGTGTTTGGGTCCAGTGTTTATAGGAAAGAGTCCTTCAGAATCCTTTGGTATGGTTACCTATAGGGGAAAATGTCAACTTAAGCAGTGGGAACAATTCTTACTGATTATCACATTATATAAAATATTTATCCTAATTTTTCATCATTTAGAAAGTGAGTTTCTAAAACTTTTAGCACTGTATAGAAGCTTTTTGGTTTTTTAAATTTGTCTTCTAGTCTCACATTTTTCTATCTTTACATAGTTTATGTAGAACTAAGTTAACTACTGCTGATTCCCATTAAAATGAACTTTTGAAGAGAAGCTAAATATAGTTACTATCTTTCCCAAAATATAACTTCAGAAAATCCTTGAGAAGTTGGAACGTTTAAAAAAAAGGAAGTTAAAAATAAATAAATAAAAATTTAAAAAAAATTAAAAAAAGGAAGTTGTGGGAGGCTGCTTATTTATTACATATATTTTCTTAAAATTGTTAACTTGCCTACTTAACGCTGAGAACTTTGTTCCGGCCCAGGTGTACCATACTTTCCATGACGAGGTGGACGAGTACCGTCGGCACTGGTGGCGCTGCAATGGGCCGTGCCAGAACAGTAAGCCGTATTATGGCTACGTGAAGCGCGCCACTAACAGGGCACCCTCCGCCCATGACTACTGGTGGGCTGAACACCAGAGAACCTGTGGAGGCACTTACATCAAAATCAAGGAGCCAGAGAACTACTCAAAAAAGGGCAAAGGAAAGACAAAACTGGGAAAGCAGCCAGTATCAGAAGCAGAGAATAAAGGTAAGTCTGCTTGTAGTCTTCCTACTTTTCCACTATTGTGGCTAGTTCTCTGAAGGACATTTCAGAGACTGGCATAAAGATAAAGCTTTAATTAATTTGTTCAACAGAAAAAAAAGGCAAAACAAGAAATTTGGTTTCAACTGAAGCCCATTTAAAATTTTTTTTACTTTATTATTTTTTTCTTGTTAGAGATAAAACCCTTAGCAATATTTTTTGAAGAAAAAGAAAAAGATAAAGCTTAAAGAGTGTTTCTTGTGTAGATATTTTCAAGTATGGACTTAAAGCAGAAAGAAAATCCCATTGTCCTTAAAACGGTGGTAGAAAAATATATTTTGCTCTATATACATGTGAGAAAAAGTGGGAATAGTTTCCACTGCTAAAATTTAAGGGTAAAGTCCCCTTCCCTATCCTGACTCACTGGGTCATTAGGAAACAGAAGGCAAAAAAAAGATAGTCAAGGTAAAAACCGTAATTCAAATAACAATGCCCGGAATGTAAGTCCTAGCTACACCCCTTCCTATCAGTTGGAGTCTATCCAAGCAACTTGTGTTGATGTATGTATTTTCATTAGAAGAATGGGAAAAGGATACGGCATGTATATGCTAACACTTCAAGATTTACCCCTTTCCTCTGCAGTTCAGAGTTACTGCCCTTTGAAGGGGTAGCCAGGTTACTAAAGTTAATGTTTCTTCCCTTGGGAAGTTGTTGATTGGATGTGATAAGGATTCATGGACATAAGCTTTCTCAAATCTGAAACGTTTACTAAGTTGAGAAGCTATAGAAGAATTTATGTGGAAAGATTATATCCTGTTTTTTGAGCTGGGAAGATAATGCAGTAGCAGATTTTTCCCATCTGGGACATGGCTTAAGAGTACTAAAGGCAGTTTTCTTGGTAAAAGTTATTCTGCTATTGATATTTGCATGATAGAACTCCTTATCTAAGTATGAGATGGTATTTTGTGTTTTGTTTTGAAAGGAGGGTATTTTTGTCCTTTATGTGTTCTCAGTATCAGAGCTTTCTGACTGCTGAAGGTTGCCCTCCTGTTAACAGAGAATTACAGTATAGTTCTAAGTCAGAGCAAAACAGTATTTCTTCATTTGGAAAAACTATCCATTAACTTAATACTTGTTATGGTATAAATTTTGAATCAAGGAAAAATCTTACTTCTTTTGCAGACAAACTGAACAGAGGGGAGAAACAGCTGTTAATCCCCTTTAGCGGGAAAGGTTATGTCCTAGGGGAAACCAGCAATTGTTCATCTGGGAAATGTATCACTTCACATGCTATTAATGAAACCCAAGAGCCTTTAAGTCAAGACCATTCAGCAAATGCCCTGAGACCTCATTCTAAAACTGAGGTGAAATTTGAACAGAATGGTCCAAGTAAAAAGACTTCTGTAGCATCCCCCATTCTCAGTACCAGTCATCAAAATGTCTTAAGCAACTACTTCCCTAAAACGTCCATTGCCAACAACAAGTCTTTCAGAAGTGTGAATGGGTCTCCAAAGAAAAGCCTCACAGTGGGCAACAGCACTAAAAAGTCAGTCTTTTCCAGTTCTCAAAGGAGGATTACATCTTCTAGGATATCTCTAAGGGACTCCTTAAAAGCCATGGAATCGACATCTGTCACTGTGCCCCAGGATGCAGGTGGGCCTGAAGGTAAACTCCCAAGTAAACGACCCAGGCTAGAAAAGACTTTTTTTGACAACTTTTTTGTCAAGAAAGAGCAAACCCAGAGTGGTGGTAGTGATCTGAAGAGTAGTTTACATCCTCCAGCTGCAGCTCAGAGTCCCAGCAGTTCATCTAGTCAGAGCAGAGTGGTTCACTGTCCTGTGTGTCAGGATGAAGTTTCAGAGGCTCAGATTAACGAGCACTTGGACTGGTGCCTTGAACGTGATAGCACCCAAGTCAAAAGCTGAAAAAAATCTCTGAAAAATGAATGGGTCTCCAACGTCCACTTTTATTGCCTCACTACTACACTCAGGAATTTCTGGTTAATAAGATTTGCAGGTTATAATCTAGTTCATCAATATTAAATGTTCTATTTTATATAAATATATATGAGATTGTAATTAAAAAATATTTTTCCTAGAGGTGCTATACTCTTGTCTTATGTACACTGGAGCCCAGAATTTCTTCTGGATGCATTCATGTACATTTTTTAGATACTTCTTTCTGGCTTTTAAAAGTATTTAAATCTGTTAATCTTTTTATTTTCCTTAAAACATTCAGTGAGGAATTCTATCAGGTATTTGGTTAAATTGAATATTTCATTATTAATATTAAAACTCATTCCCAGAACTGGTAATATCCATAGTGTCAGACATATTGATGAAAATTACAAACTAGTTGTTTTAGGCTATTCAAGGTTTTGGGGTTTTTTTCTTCCAAATTTTAACATTTCCTATATTGTAAAGATTTTATTTTTCTGTTTCACTAAAAGGTGGCAGATTTTATAGTAAATAGATATGTATAGTAAATATTATATAGATATTATATGTATTCTATAAATATGTTGATATTTATAGTATCTACTTATAGATAAGTATAGTAAAATAAATTTCTTTTGGAATATTGCTAGTAAATAGCTACTGTAATTCTGTAGGTCAGAGCTTAGCTGTTTTCTCAAAATTTTAGATGCTAAGTAACATAACAGTTGCCTAGTTTATGTACAAGTGAAACATCATCTGGAAACAGTATTATGAACCTTAAGCCAAAGTTGAAACCATTTAGGAATACCATTTTGCCTATGCAAAGTATTTCTTTTAAAAAAATTCTTTTTTATGTTAAAAGAAAGGGACAAAGATAGTTTGATGAAATTTACTTTGTTGTCTCACTCATGGCTGTAAGGCCAGCTGTTGGCGTATTTTCAAGGCCTTAGTTCATAAGTTTTTTCTTTTTCTTAACTTTGTTGCAACATGACTTTTAGATACATAGGTGCAGCTGGGTTCCCCTCTGTGTGATCACTAGAAGTTAGAGAACATATCAGTTACCCTAGAAGGTGTCCTCATGGGCATCTCTTCTAGACAGCACCCACAGCCCCCAAGTAATCACTGTTTTCATCTGTCACCTCAAGTTAGTTTACTTGTTTTTGAACTTGATGAAGTCATATCTTTGCTGCTGTGGGTAGCAGAAGTTCATTCTATTCATTGCTCTGTAGTACTTGTATGAATATGCCAGTTTATCATTCTAATATTAATGAACATTGGCATCATCTCCTGTTTGGGGCTGACCGTTGTGACCAGTGCTGCTAAGAACATTCTTATCTATTTCTGTTGAGCATATCCCCAGACTGGAAATGCAGGGTCACCAGGTACCTTGTTTAGCTTCCGTAAATCCTGCCAGTTCACACTCCTGCCAGCAGTGCATGAGACCTTATTGTTCAGCAGTCTCAACGCTATGATCTGTCCTTTCCTTTCAGCCTATCTCAGTGAGTGTCTGTGAGTTTTGATTCTTTTGAAACATTAAGTTAAACCATAGTAATTAATAAATATTTATAAATGACTTAAAATGTGTATTATGTTGAATATATACACTTAGACTGTCATACCAGATCATTTAATTTAACAAGTTATGTTCAGGAAATATTTTTTGTGTGCCAAAACCATACAAAGCTCTGGTGCTATGAAGCATATGATAGCCCACCCATGGCCTCAAGGAGCAGTACAACCTATCGGGGAGTGAAACAAAAGCAGATTAATTTCAAACTAGTTAAGTGCTGTGGGAACTGGAAAGGATAATCAGCCAAGCCCAAGGCTTCAGGAGGTGGAGGAGACAAATTGCACACCCAGGTTGAGTGTTCTAGGGCAAGTCAAGTTAGTCCAGCAGGGGTGGAGAGAAAGGGCCTTGCAGAAAGAAGGAACACTGAGGTCTGGCACATCCTACTGGGGGAACCTGAGCTGTTCTGAATGAACAGAGTAAAATGTGAAGGGTGAAATGGCAGGAGTAGAAAGACTGCAGACAGGACAGATTCAAGTAAAACTTGGAGGCTGAAAAACCCATCTATGGCATTCTCCACTTACGTCGTTTGTATAGTCCCTGTTAATACACATCTGTTGATTCACATTGGGGTGGTGCTGTGGGGATTGGGAAGGCTTATACACCAGCCAAGAACCTCTGAGAAGTGTTTTGAGGGGTTCACGGTCGGGGGGTTGGCAAGAGGGGGAAGGGCAATGGCTGGGATGGAGAGAAGATGGCTTCCAGAAATACTTAGGTTGTAAAATCAAGAATTGGTCAGTTTTAAGTGATGATGGGAATATGTTAACTGGCAAGAAAGTTGAAGTTAATTTAAAATTTGGAATTAAATAAGACTTCATGTCAGTATCTAAGAATTCTGATACTCCCAAATCTGTTGTTTTACATTAGGAAAAACAATCAGTTTTACGTTCTACTGGTTTTTCACTTTTAAAAATCATTAGGGGTCAACTTTTAAATGTTATTGCCCTTCATTTTGAAGAGATGGGGAAGGAGAAAAGGGAAGCAGACTTTATCCCATGGTCCAAGAGCTCTGAGATTTTCTTTTCGAAGCTTATGGGAGTTTTAAGTAAGAATGTCACAGTGAAACAGGCAGGCTCTCTAACTTTCCTCAGACGTAGTACCAAGCTGGTATCTCCTCACTGGGCTGCCTTGAAAAGAAGCTGAGCTCTTTTTGCAGTTAATCCTTATTGAGGGGCAGTGGGTTCCTGTTGTTCTTTGTTTGATTTTTATCCTGAAGGTTATTGTTGCCTTTTCGGAAATTTGTTGTATTTGTTGTTGACCAGTAGCATATCCACCAGATGAAGTAAAACTCTACTAGACAATTATTATTACTGATTAAATTCTCTGAAAGTGAAGTCACTCAGTCGTGTACAGACTCTTTGCGACTCCATGGACTATAACCTACCAGGCTCCTCTGTCCATGGGATTTTCCAGCCAAGGGTACTGGAGTGGGTTGCCATTTCCTTCTCCAGGGGATCTTCCCTGACCCAGGGGTCGAACCCAGGTCTCCCACATTGCAGGCAGACGTTTTACCATCGGAGACACCAGGGAGATTAAATTCTCTAGGGAACTGAAATCGTATAGGATGCCATGTGGTGATTAGCTCTGGCTTTTTATTTCTAACATTCCACTGTTGGAAAGTTATATAATTACATACACATCATCTCGTATCTTTTGATATGAAAGTGGAAGACTTGATCTTTATTGATTCAGGAGTCATCTCATTATCAAAGTTTACAATGCTGTAGACTATAATAGAGAAGCCGTAGTTTGCCTTCTTTGGTTCTGGTGCTAAAACCTACCAAGATTTACCCTCTTGCTTACTGAACACCAGATGGCGCTCTTGTGCTTAGCTGTTCAGTGGTGTCTGACTGACCCCATGGCGGTAGCCTGCCAGGCTCCTCTGCCCATGGGGGTTCTCCAGGCAAGAATACTAGAGTGGGTTGCCGTGCCCTCCTCCAGCGGATCTTCCTGACACAGGGGTTGGACCCAGGTCTCTCACATTGCAGGCAGATTCTTTACCATCTGAACCACCTTAGTAAATTAAATTTCTCTGAGAAACTGAAGGCAAAGCAAAGCCAAAGAGAGAAAGAGAAACTTCAACAACAGGAATAATAATGACTGGTTCTGACACATAAAGGGAAAAGACAGGTTATGATCTCAAGTCCTGGGAGAGGGGACACAGCATGGTCAAGGGTATGTGCTTGTTCAAACAAACAAGGACTGACCTACAGGTCTACCTAAGGTAGATCTACTGACCTACCTTAATCTTCCTAAACTTGTTTATATTTCACCTTTTACTCTGAACACTAATGTACAGTCTTCTGCAAGAAACCAGTACCCAGACATGGCAAAACACGGTAACCCCCAACAGGAAGTCTTCCAGATAAGGTGGGACCTATATTTTCTACTGTTTTCAAAATCATAGTACTCTTCCTTTGAATGTCTAGTACTTATTATTCTGCTGTCTTATCATCTTGATTAGTCTAATGTAACGTCCTTTGCCCCTGTATCAGAGGTCTAGTGGAACAAAGAGGAGCCTGTTAAATTTTCGGTGTTAAGTGCATGAAATGGCTAGGCACTTCTCAACATCTAACTGTTACCTGCTTTTGCAAAAACATCTTAATGTAACACTGATTCTCCATACTTCTCCAAAGAATCAAAATGTGTGTATTTTCAAAACAGATATTCTAGAGACCCAAATCATTCCAGGTTATAAGCATTTCTTGGAAACTAAACATGAAAATCTGCACCAACATGAAAGAAAATTGGATTTCCTTTTTAACAAGATTCTTCACATGTATTTGTATACATTTAAAATAATTCAGTAAGATACACCCAGACACTTGTTCAGTTGCATTCTTAATATCAAGATATTCAACTACTTCCTTTGTGGCTCATCTTATAAAGAATCTGCCTACAATGCAGAAGACCTGGGTTCTATCCTTGGGTTGGGAAGATCCCCTGGAGAATGGAAAGGCTACCCACTCTAGTATTCTGGCCTGGAGAATTCCATGGACTGTATAGTCAGTGGGGTCATAAAGAGTCAGACAGGACTGAGTGACTTTCACAAGATCTGTGATGGTAGGATGGAGTCTAGCTTCTTATCATGTCTGTGAGTCACCCATGTTGTTATTTGTAAACTGTTCATTCTAGTTGCTATTTCATGTAAGCATACTGCCACACAGGGACTTCCCAGGTGGCTCAGTGGTTAAAAATCAGCCTGCCAAGCAGGAGACAGCGGTCTGATCACTGGGTTGGGAAGATCCCCTGGAGAAGGAAATGGCAACCTACTCCAGTATTCTGGCTTGAGGAATCCCATGGACGGGGGAATGGTGGGTTACAGTCCATAGGGTCACAAAACAGTTGGACATGACTTAGCGACTAAACAACACATCTGCTCATCATGTGTCCCCTTCTGCTTTCTAACCCTTTGTGACTA